TAGCAGTTTGTGTCTCTACCCAAGTTTTGCAGGCAAGTGCACCAGAGGGAGAGGCCACTTGTACCACGTGAGACTGGACCCCTGGCCCTCGTGAAAGGCTACGGTTGGGAGGAGGCATGTTGACCTTTGTGTCTATCCCTGATATATAGTATGGGCTGCCATCAAGTATGTCTCTCTGGCCACCAGGAGGCAAAAACATGCCATGATGCAGTGACACCTTACTGCCTGGTCACTGGTCCCTCTGGCTTCCTGCAGGATGCCCTGTGGCATCAGCTCTGGCAATAATCTGGAAACCTTCTGTCCAGCTAGAATCTTCTCTGTTTCCTTGGTTGAACTTGGTTGGCATCAGCCAGAATGACATCCTGTTTTGACTTCTTTAATGGACCTGGAACATCTGGGTGAATCAAAATCTTTCTGGTTGTAAGTGACAGAAATCAACACAGAGTGGCTTAAACCTAAATAAAAATTTCCAACTTATGCAACTGAAATGTCAGGTATAGCTGGCTCCAAGGGTCCAAATAATGCCATTCATTCTCTCTCACCCCATAATTTTTTGTCCATTGATCTTGCCCTTTTTTGGTGGGGGACTCCACGTGGTGGAGTAAGAAGCTTATGCCCAGTAAGAAGCTTATGCCCTGCCTCTGCCAAGAGGTCAGACCCTAGTTTCTTTTTCTCCACCGGCATTACTCTCAAGCCGGTCTATGAGTTATTGACATGGTGGGGGATGTAATACCCTGGGACACCACCCTAAATCATGGACTGAGCATGGGGGAGGTGGTCTTGGGAGGGGAAGTGGAAACTGTTACTAGAACAGGAGGAGTAGAAGATGGGCAGTGAAGACAGACATCCCTTTCAAAACCCCTCATGATATGAGAAGGGTAGGAGAAGCTGTCCTAGGCTCAGGAACCTCTCTAAACCCTGTCCAACCCCTTCTCCTGCCCTGACCTTCCCCTTTTGTCTGTGCCATTGGGCTTTTCTCCTTGACATCTTCTCCCTCTCTAACCGTGGGGCTGGTGACCCTATTTTGGATCATTTCACGTGGCCTGTAAGTGCCGCTCCCTCCAGATGGAACCTCCAGCATCTGCCCTCTGAATAAACTGGCACGCCTTAGCCTGGTGACCCCTGACACAGGGAAGAGGGCCAAGCACAGTACCACAGGGACAGTGTCCTAATTTGGAGAACTCGCCCTTTGGAGACTTCAGTCTCACCTCTTGTGGCCCTGTCAAGATTCAGAGCATTAAACATTTTTTCCCCCTTTTATTTTCTTCATTTGTCAGGTCCCTGTTGTGTGGCGTTCGTTGTCGGGTGGTGTTGGTTTGTTATTTTCACTCTGCTCTGTGCCCTGACACTTCCTCAAGGTGTGGGCACATTCTAAAATAATGATCTCCCCATGGCCAGGAGAGCCTGACCCCTCTGCAGTGGTTTGAGCAGCTCTGCTCTGGGGGAAGGGCCAGGGATTTTGCTTGGGGTTCAGCATTGGAGGGGCTGGCGTGAGCTCTTAGGGACAGTCAGGAATGTCCAGGAGGGACAAAAGGCCTGAGCTGAAAAGCAGAGGAATGTAAGGCATAGATAGAGGTGGCTGGATTTCAGAGGCACTGGCCTGAGTGGTAGCACCAGGTCCCACCCAGGTGAGCTAGAGGTCAAAGGGGATCAGACCCCAAGGAAACCTGTTCCTGATGTCTAAACTTTCTATACGCCCCAGAATGGCAGTGGCTGATTTGCCATGGAGTGTCTGGGCAGTGGAGGGGTGGGGCAGGATCAAGGTCCCAGATGATGAATGGCCACCGGCAAGTCTTGCCTTGGCCAGTAGCCAGGGGGAAGGAGAATCTTCCTTCATTCAAAAGTGGCTCAGCTTCTGCACTGTTGCCACTGTTCTACCAGATCCAGGTCTTATTGAAAGAGGGTTCCTGGTCCTAAGGGGTTTTATGTCCTTGTGTCCTAATGAGGCATAGCTGTGGCTACTGGAGAAGGGCCTCTCTTCAGGGTGGACCATGTACCCTGGAGGCAAGACCTTGGGGCTCTTTGAAATCCCTGTCCATTCTTTCTCCCCTCTTCTAGTTCCCACTAGGCCTCTTTCCTTTGACTGATCCTGGCCACAGCAATTCATTCTGTTCAGATTTACATTGTATCTTATGTAATCTGTTACAACCCCCAAGTTTAAGATGATACCTCTTATTATGGTTTAAAATGCTATAATGTTGGGATGAAGATGGGATGAGCTCTGGAGTGAGAAGGACATGGATACTAGCCCCAGCTCCATCCCTCACAAGCTCAGTGACCTGGTGTGAGTTACTATACCTTAGCTTCTTCCCTGGCAAATTCCTAAGACAGAGCTGTCTTTCTTTTGGGGCGAGTGTGAGGCATAAATAAAGCAAAAGTTTATTCCTTTAACAAGTACATCTTGCACGCCTAGTACGTGCCAGGTGCTTTTCCAGGCACTTTGCAGCACTGCACCCGACAGTTCTAGTGGATGTAATACCTGTAATGACACCTAAAGGTCTTTGACAGAGTGGCAATCCTGGAGGAAAGATAAAGGGGCACCTCATTCAGACCACATAGTGGCATGGTGTTCGGAAAGTTCCACTGCTGTGTATGCTGTTGGGAAACCTGATACATATCTCCCCAGAGTCTGGATTGAACGAGCTTTGCCAGGATGTAGGGGCAGGGTCCACAGTCCTGTCCCTCACTCCAGGCCTTCAAGGTCCTTTTTTTTTTTTTAAAAAAAAAATTTATTCTTAATGACATGAGCAAGAAGGAAAATCTCACATTCATACTAAAAAGTCCAACTAGATTCAACAGGAATTAAATTTTTATTTATAATGGAAAAACCTCAGCCTCCTGTTCTGTCCAATGCACAAACATATACATATATACATACCCACGCCCAGGCGGTACCAGCCCCCCTCCCCACCAAGGTGTTCCTGGGCCGAGTGGCCTGCCGGTAGAGCTGAGGTAAACTAGCTCATAAATTTAAGAGGATCCACTTTACATCAGGCATAGGTAGAAGCTTCATTTTTAAACATGTGGCCCATTCTTACCCCTCCAACCCTAACAAGAATTTGGGACTTGGGTCTCAGTTCTTTTTTCAGTCTGGCACAGAGCCAGGCTAACACAGGTGCCCCACTGTTCTTGGGGTGGGAGTCCCCTGTCACAAGATATTTGACCTTAGTCACAAAAGGATACAGCTCCATTACATTATTTATAAGATTTATATAACACAGCCAGAAGGAGCTCCGCTCCCTCAGGAAAGCTGCCTGGGGACAGCGCTTGAGCCCCTTCACCACACAGGCATCACCTAACTATGCAGCTAGTTCCTGGTCACCAGCAATCATACTTAGTCACCTCAATGAACCAAGCTTGGAGGAATTTAAAAGGCAATTTAGCTTAAATTAAAAAATAAATTTTTGTTAAAATTTTAAGTTTAAATATATATTTTTTTAATTTAGGCATAGGAATTCATACTCCTCCCAAAGAGGAGAGGCAGACAATGGGCAGCGAGGCCAGCAGGTGGAGGCGGCCGGCGGCTGAGGGCAGTTGGAGGCATCCTGCACTCTCCAGGAGCTTCAGTCACTCCCAGCTCTGCCAGCCTGACAGCCTTGAGCCACCAAGTTTTTAGGGCCCAAACTGGCAGAGGGCTGGAGATAAGACTTGACTCGGACTTGGCAGGGCGAAAGGGGGCAGCCCGAGCAACACCCACTGGGGTCTCCCAGGCAAAAAGACCAGAGGAAGAGAACCACTTCTTATAACCCAGCCAAGCAAGTAAAACTGCTGCCATGCCCATCCTCTTTAGGAGAATCATGTGCTAAAATATTTTAACAAAGTAAAAATTCATTTTTGTATTTAAGCTTTTAAATTCCTTCCATCTTGGTTCATTGAAGTGGTAAGTATGAATGCCGGTGATCAGGAATTAGCTGCACAGTTGGGTGATCTGTGTAAAGAAAGGGCTCAAGTGCTGTCCCAGACAGCTTTCTTGAGGGACTGGAGTCCCTTTTGCCCATGTTATATAATTCTTATAAATAATGTGAAATGGAGACGGGGACAGAAGCTATTTCTTACGGGTGTGCTGCCTTCAGGCCTGCAGTCTTGGTCGAGCATCTGGGGTCTTGGGTCCCGCCATCAATGGAAAATGAAGGGGCTGCTGATCCAAAAGACCTCCCCGCTTGTGACTGAAAATTATTCATTTTATCCAATCCCACCAAATGCAACAGAGATTCAAGTTGTGTGCATTGCATGCTCTGGCAAGGATGGCTCTTGGGGGAAAAGGTGGGAAGGGAGGCCACCTGACTAAGTGACATACTAAATGAGTCAGGGAAGTGAGCCAACAGTATGTACAGATGTTCCTTTAGTTCTTCAGCTGCATCCCGCAGCTTGGCTGGGCACAAATAACCGGGAGGTCACGAGCCACTTGTAGATTCAAGCAGGAACGAACTTCGAACCTACCACCCACGCGAACTCTCCAGGAACTCCAGGAGAGCTCAAACATCACCATCCTAATGGCTCCCTGGCACCACCTCTCAACCACTCCCCCTGGCAAAACGCCAGGCACCATCCCTACTCGGCTGCAGCTCTCAACATCAGTGCAACTGTTCAAGTACAGGTATCAGGCTTGGGCCCTGCCACTGCCTGCTTCCTCCCTGAGGCGCCTGCTTCCTCCAGAAGGGAAAGAGCCCCTGGGCTGCTACCACCACCCTGGTGGCTGAAGCTAGAGATCTAGGGTAGTTTTGTTTTATGGAACTTGAAGAGTCAGAGGCTCTTCCTAGTAGGTGCTGAGGTCCAGATTTGGGCAAGGACAAGGGAATGGGGAGGGGGACAGGGGAATGGGGTGGGGACAGGGGAATGGAGACTGGGACAGGGGAATGGAGACTGGGACAGGGGAATGGAAATTAGGACAGGGGAATGGAGGTGGGGACAGGGGAATTGAGATGGGGACAGGGGATTGGAGACAGGGACGGGGATTGGAGACGGGGACAGGGGAATGAAGGTGGGGACAGGGACAGAATCTATTTCTTACGGGTGTGCTGCCTTCGGGCCTGCAGTCTTGGTCGAGCACCTGGGGTCTTGGGTCCCGCACCAATGGAAAATGAAGGGCCTGCTGATCCAAAGGACCCGACTCCAACAAAGCCTTGGGTGGGTATAGAGGACACCCCAAAGGAAAGGCTGTTGCCCGCTGTGCCCACTCCAGCGGTTAGGGTGCTCCGCCCAAAGGTAGGTGTGGAGATGCTTCCATACACAGGTTTGCTCTCAGATGTGCTGGCCACGTTAAAGGCAAATGGTGTGCCCTGGCTGGGAATCCCCAGGGCATTCTGACTTAAGACCCCCACAAAGGGGGTGGTGGTTCCTGTGGTACCACTCTGTCCAGGTCCAAAATTGAATGCCCCAGAGGTGGAGTTGGTGTCTGGGGCAGCCACACTGAGCCCAACACTTGGGGCTACAGGTCCCCCAAATGTGAAAGGGGACGAAGTTGAGCTGCCAAACACTGAGCTACTGGTCCCACTGCTAGTGGTGTGGGTGGTAGCTCTGAAGCCAGAGGTGGTGGCTACTACACCAAAGGCTTTCTTTGTGCTGGCAGGGACGCTGAAGGCTGAGGCTGTGGTTTTCAAGCCAAAACCCGTCTGCGCTGAGCTGCCAAAGGCCGGCTGGGCTGGCTGGGCCAGCGCTGCCGCGGGCGCTGACATTGGCGTTAGCACTGGTGCTACAGATGGGGCAGGGGCCCCAGAGTTCCCAAAAGGAAAAGGGCTGCCAAAGCTTGGGGTTAGGGATGGCTTGGTGGACCTCTGCTGCTGCCCATTGGCAGCCCCAAATTTGGGCTGGGGGATGACTACTGGGTATGCTGCGACGGGGTGCTTGGCACTTAAGCCAAAGGGAATATTGAATGCAGGAGTGGTTGTGTTACTGAAAGTCAGTGTAGGCTGGCAGGTGGCGGCCAGGGCTGAGGTTGTGAGGGAGCCACCGAAGCCACAGAAGCCAGCAGTGCTCCTCCTGCTGCTGCTGCTGCTGCTGCTGCTGCTGCTGCTGGTTGCCATCTGAACAGCACCAGGCAGAGACTGGCCAAAGGTGGTCACTGCTGTGGATGTCTGCATGATGGGGGCCCTGCCAAACTGGAATTCAGAGCCCATGGCCCTGGCAGAGCTGGTGACAGAAGCAGGGGGCACCCCAAAGGGGAAGAGCTGAGAGGCGGAAGTCATGCTGCTAGTTGTGCTGCTCCCAGTACTGGCCACACTGTTGACCCCAAAGCCAAAAGAAGATGTGGACACACTGGTGGTGGTGGTGGTGGTGGTGGTGGTGGTGGTGGTAGTGGTGGTGGTGGAAGCCACGACAGAGGTGGCAGTGGCCAGGCCAGCAAACAGAGGGGCAGCTGGGGCTGCAGCAGCCGTCACAGCAGTTGTTGGCTTAAAGGAAAAGGGAGCAGGCAAGGGCACAGCCACAGGTGGCCCTAGGTCACCAAAGATGGGCTTAAAAGTTGAGGTGGTAGTGCTGGTGGTCATCGTGGGGAGGTTGGCTAGACTGGATGGCAAGGGGCCTTCACTCTCACTTTTAGGTGCCATTGCAAAAATAGGCTTGAAGGTGGGAGAAGACATGGCTAGGGCACCTGGGGAGGAAAGGTCAGAGGTCTCGCTGTTTGACATGCCACCAAACAGCACTCCTTGCATGGGAGAGGGGGTAGATGTGTCAGCCTGAAGGGCTGGAGGTGACTTGGTGTCAGCGACTGGTGCTGTGGAGGAAGCAGGGACCAGTCCCAAAAAAGTGGCTGTGGGTTTTGAGTCTGAAGAGGTTTCTGGCAGGGGCCCTGATGGTAAAGAGCCAAGAGAGTCCAGAAGACTGGGTGTCTTCAGAGATGAAGGTTCTGGGAGGGATGGCCCTGGGACACTCTGCGTCTTCTTCAGGCTAGTGCCTACGGCTGGCCAGGAGGCTGCTGAGAAAGTGGTATTCGCAGCAGGCAGGGTGAAAGAAGGCTGAGTGTCGGGTGGCTTCTCACTGACCAACTTCAGAGGAGGAACATCAGTCTTGTCCTCTAAGACCTTGTTCAGCCACTGGAGCGAAGCTTTCTTCTCCAGGTCAAAGTCCTCAGCCGTGATGGGATAACCAAGCTGAGGTGGTGAAGGCAAGGTCAGTTGGTTCCGAAGCCTGGGCAGCAGTGGAATCTTCCGTTTCCGTTGTCTGGAGCTGCCGGGTGTAGATGGGGAAGCCCCCGAGTTCTGCTGCTTCTGAGTGGGAGTGTCCACAGCCCTTTCTCCCTGGGACTCCTTGTTGGCCACTGGAGGAGTCGAAGAACTGGAATGCTGACGTGGCTCCTCTTCTCTCGCTTTCTTGGCTGGCCTCTCTGGGGAGGAAGCTGGGCTAGAGAAGGGAGATGAAATGGAGCCACTCCTCTTCCACAGCTGCTGGCGAGAGATGCCTCCGGTAGAACTGTAAGAACTGGTGATCCTATTGCAGCCGGAACAACGGACGCCGCATGTGCTTGTCAGGGAGCGAACCCGCGAGGTACAAGATCGCTTACTCGAATCTTCTCCTGAGCTCTGGGAAGGGAGAACTCTTTTCAGAGACCCAGGGTTAGGCACAGAAGAAGTGGAGCCTCCATTGGCCACCAGGGGCACAGATGGAGACTGTCCACTCCTACTGCTATCCTGGCGTCTCCTCTTATTCTCCTGACCATCAACAAGTAATTGGTCGTCTTCCTCCGCAATCCTTTTCTTCCCCTCTTTGAGACCATTCTCTTTTGCACATGAGTCTGGGACATTACCAGATGGTGAGGGCAGGGTTGAGTTGATTAACCGCCCTGGTATTAGACGACGAGTTAACCTGCTATCCGGAGGGGCAATCCTCACAGTCCCTGGGCTGCACACCATCTTTGAGTTCTGAACCGAAAGCACAGCCTTCTTCTGACAACCATTCCAGCACACCGTGGGCAGTACCCCTAGCATGGAATACTGGGCCTGCTGAATTGGATGGTGTCTTGGAGGAGCTATCACAAAGGGATTGGCTAAAGTCCCACAATCCCTATGCATAGACCTCCTGGGGGGTCGGTGGAAAGGGGTCGGGAGAGAGGGGTAACCGCGCTGCGGGATCCGCTGGGCCGCAGGTGTAGGTGGCCAGGAGCGGGTGGGCAGGCGGCGGACAGGCCGCTCCCTCAGGTCCCTGCCCTCCTGCGCGGTGGCGGGCTGCGGAGGGCCGGGCTTATCCAGGTAGCTGCTCATGAGCCGGGCTTATCCAGGTAGCTGCTCATGAGCCGGGCTTATCCAGGTAGCTGCCCATGAGGAGCAGTTCAGCGGGTTTGAGTCCTTTGAACAGAGTCCAAGGCTCTAGGAGCTTTCCGTTTGCTGCCGCGTTGGTCAGAGGCGAGACGAGCAGTGTTCGCTGGCTGCGAACGAACGACGACGACGGCACGGCGCGCGGGCCACGGGGCTCGCGGCTCAGTCGCCACCAGACCGTGGTAGCGCCAACGGCCAGCCACGCTACCAACGGTCCTGCACGCACCAGGTACAGCACGAGGCCCAGCAGCACCGCGAGGCCCAGCAGCGCGAGGCCCAGCAGCTCCGCCCGCGCGGGCCCGCCGCAGCCCCGGGCCAAGCCCTGGGTGCTAGCTATGGGGGGCCGCTGCCGCTCGCCTTCTCCAGTCACAGCCGCCAGAGACATAAACAGCTCCGCGTCGCAGGGAAGATTTCTTCGCGGCCTTCTTACCCCAGGCCAGAAGGTGTGTGATCCATCAGCTCAGAGTTGGAGAGGCTATCAGGGCGGTGGACTGGGCAGAATTCGGCTCCATGCTCCAGTTGCACGCACATACTCACAGGCACGCACACGCAGTGTGCATAGTCACACAAGCATACGCGGGTATACGCATACACACAATCTGGCCATCACTTCCCCAGCATGCTCCTTTGTAGACATAGTATTGATCATGACCTCACAGTTAAACAAGCACCACCCACTCAGGTGCTCTCCAAGTGATGTCCAAGGGAGGGCTTTGCCGGAGATTCAGAGCAGCCCACAGAGGAGTGATTAAAGATTCCTTTTGGATCCAGTGCAGTGAAGCCTGGCCTGAAGCTGCCTCCTCCTTGGAGCCTTCACAGGTGGAAGGTAATGCCCCTGTTCCAGCCTCCTGCCTTTCTGTCTGAATTGTCCCACCTCTAAGACCTTGTTCTGGAGGTAGAGTCTCTGGAACTCCTCATTTCCAGTCAGGAGGGAGTAAGATGCTAAGGGTGAAGGAGAACAGGAGGTCTCCAGATATCAGTGGTGGGGTAGTCTACAGAGGAGCACTATCCTCCTGGAATGCTTTTCTCCTTTTCAGTGCCTCCTTAGAGGCCAAAGGTGACTCTCAGACCCAGGAACCCAGGGTTCTTCCACAGAGGTTAGGCCTCTCTGGCCAGCAGCCCTGGCTTGTCTCCACCAGGGCCAGAAATTCAATTTGGAAGGATTTTTCCTGGCCTGAGCTGTGGCTCCCTTGCCTTGTCTCTGGCTACTGCTGAAGTGAGCCCCTCCCCTTCCTGTCTCTTTTCAGATTTCTTGGATGAAATTGATTCTCTTTGAGCCACTCACCCTGGTGCTGCTCAGAGCAATAGCCCCAGCAAACATTTTCTTCAACAAACTGTCTCCCTTATCTGATGAACAGTGTACATTAAATTCTCATGTCTGGCGTGTGTGTGTGTGTGTGTGTGTGCGCGCGCGCGCATGAAAAACGTGTGGTTAGTGCAAAGGAGTGGAGGGAGTGGCAGCAACTCTCTTAACAGAGGTGAATATGGGCCTCCAAAGACAGCAGCTCTGTCCCTCCAGGGCTGGCCAAGCAGGCCACAACAATAGGCTCTCCTTTGGCTTCTGGCTGACCCTTCCTCTTGGAAATAGATGGGGACAGGGAGAGGCAGTTTCCACAGTCAGAAGGGCCAGGAATAGAGGTAAACCTCAGGTTTAAAACAAACTCCTCTCAACTCCTCCGCCTCTCTGTTCATTCCTCAGATATTACAAATGCTCATGTCTTGACCTCCTTTCTGTCCCTCGGCTATATACATCTTTCCTGAACCTGCAGGGCCCCACGTGGAGTTTGCTGCAATTGGACCTTTTTCCTCTTCCACCCTCCAGTCCCCCAGCCTCCCAGGGTTTCCAGAACCTGCCACATTCTTTGCTCACCTGTGCCTTTATTAACTCTATTTTCCCTCTTCCCTGACCTTCCTGCATATCTGATTCCTCTTCTTCATTCAAGGCCAAGTTGTGCTTTCCCCATGAACTCTGTGACCACCCTCTCCATCAGGATCTCTACTATTAATTTGCTCTGAGTGTGCCACCTTGAGTTGTCAGGCTGGGTGGAATGGACTTGTCACACTACTAACTGTGTGACACAGAGGCAGGTTTTTTTCCCCCTCTATTTTCCAATAAAATTTTATTTATTAAAAACAAAAACAAAAACAGATGGCTGGGGATGTGGCTCAAGTGTATCGCGCCTGCCTGGCATGCGCGAGGCACTGGGTTTGATCCTCAACACCACATGAAAATAAAAAATAAATATTAAAAAAACAGATGGTCAACTGGATTTGACCTAATGATTGTTAGAACCATTAAAAAAATTTCTTAGATTCAGCTTTCACACCTGGAAAATGGAACCTGCCTAATCGAATTATCAAAAGGAATCCAGGACATATCATATAAGATTCTAGTATAGTGATTGGTACATAGTAAGGTCTCAATTCCTAGAGGTTCCTCTTCCCTCATGGATGTGTGCCGTTTCTCCAATAGGATTGCAAAGTTGGAGGGCAGTGATTGGATCCTGTTTTATCTCTGGGTCCCCAGCACCCATGCTAAAACTTCCTGCAGGGTAAATGTTCAATAAACACTTGCTATCTTTGATCTAGCTCCTGTTTATCTCCCTAGGATTTTCTCTTTGCTTTCTCCTTTCTTCACACCTACCATCCTGAACCATTTGTTGTCCTTCTAAAGTAGGTTTTTCAGTTTTTGACCTTGACACTATTGAAGTTTTAGTTTGGCTAATTGTTTATCTTGGGGTTGGGGCTCTCCTATGTATTGTAGGGTGTCTAGCAGGATTCCTGGCCTCTACCTACTCGATGCTGGTAGTACCTGTCTCCCTTTACCTCTCAGCTGTGACAATCAAAAGTTTATTAGACATTGCTTATTCTCTTCTGAAGTACAAGGATCACCCCTGGTTGAGAACCGCTGCTCTGGTGCTTTGTTTTCTTTCATGATTTTTTTGCGTTTATGGATGCAGTTTCTTTGCTTAGCACTGACTTTGCCTGTTCCCCTTTGCTAACTTCTAAACACCTGTTGAAAGCCAGGCCAGATGTCAGCTCCTTGGAGAAGGCTTCTCTGACTTATCTCCATAGAGATCCTCCTTACAAATCCCATATCCTTCTGTGCTTCTTAATTTACCTTCTTTCTCATATCCTATTGCAATTGCCTATTTTTGGGTCACTGTCTTGTCCATTTCAGTTTGATCTCTTCAAAGACAGAACTTATTTATTTACCTCTTTATCTTCAGCACAGAATACAGGGCCTAGAACGTAGCAGGTGGTCAAAACATGTTGGAGGAATGAATAGGAGAAAAAAATGGAGAGTTAGATAGAATGATAAATGGGTGGGTGGATGAATGGATGGATGGATGGATGGTAAATTTGTAGGTTGGTAGATGGAGAATTAGTTGCATGGAAAGATGGATAAAAGGATAGATGAATGGAGTTTATGAATAAATTAGTAAGTAGAGAAATAAATAGGCGAATGGCTCGATGAATGGATGGGAGGGAAGATAGATAAGTGGGTGAATGGAGAAATGACTGAGTAGATAAATAAATGGTGGGTGGGGAGATGGGTGAATATCTGAATGAATTAACTCCCTCAAAGGATGAAAGGAATTTATGAATGGGTAGATGAATTACTGAGTGAAGATGAATAAGAGAATGTAGATGAGTCAGTGAAGAAAAGGACACATCTTGCTACACTTGTCGTCTCACTTGGACATCTTGGAGGGAGAAACTGAGTCAGTGGTGGGGACATCCTCAGGGTATGGATTGCCCATATAGGCAATCTTTCTACAGGAAACTTGTTTTATTTCCTGTCTTTGAAAATCTCTTACATTGGATTAAAACAAGTACTCTCTCTCTCGCTCTCTCTCTCTTCCATTGTATGGATGGAAACTGAGCCATGGACATCCAGATTAGGGCCATGGATGTGAAATCCAACTTTCTAACTCCCAGTCTGCCTCTCCTTGGAAAAGCATGCCCTGTTCTTTGAAACCAGGGCTCAGGAGAGTAGGTCTGGCAAAGTATTTTAGATAGCACAGTAGACAAGGGCCTTGAATAGTCACTAAGATCACAGAGTCAGAGAGCTTGGGCATGATTCCCAGCTCCACCAATGTCTAGCTGTGTGTTTCTAGGAGGCTCGGTTTTCTCATCTATAAAAAAAGGAGCAATACTGATTCTTATGGGATTGATGCAAGGTGAAATCACATGATCCAAATAAAATGCAAAGGACAATGTCTATGTGTAAGAGGCTTTCAATAAATGTTCATTTTTTGATTTATTAATATCCTTAGCATCATGTTCATCACCATCTTCTTGAATTAAGGATCTGGGGTGCCATGTGGAATGATTAAACTTAAGGGTCACATAGGTCATGTAGTCCTGCCTTTCCCATAATGCAGATCTCAAGGGTTAGAAGGTAAGATGACCTTCCCTCCAAGACCACAAGCTAGGGCCTTGAGACCTGCAGGATCCTATGCACTTGTCCATCTGCCTCTCTGAGAGCCAGAGCTTGTGGTATCCTGGCAAGGAGAAACTAATCCTCGAGTGAGTGCTTCAATTAGAGTTAAGGGAACAGGGCTGAGGTCTTTTCTTCCATGGTCTTCTGTGAAAGGTGAGGGTTCATCTTGCTTTTTTTATGGAATGTGCCCCCAAGTCCCTCAGAACTCAGTTGTTCTTTATTCCTGAGCTGAATAAGGTAGAAAAGTGAGCAGAGGCTCGGGTGACAAACGGAACCTGTCAGAGCCTCAGTTTGTCTATCTGTAGAATGGCGGCAGTGATGTTCCCTAGAACTGCCTTGAGAATCAAAGTCTCTCCCACAATGCCTGGTGCATGGAAGTGACTCAGCAAATGTAGTTCCCTTTGCTTTTTGAGAAGCCCAGGCCTCATAGCCACAGGTATCAGGATAAGTACAGTCTCTTTCTGAACTCAGGTCTCAAGGCTGATCACCTAGAGGAGGAAGGGCAATGAATGGAATCTGGAAAGGTCAACAACAACACTGCCCAGAGCTGTAATCAGGGAGCCAGAGGCAGATCCTGGGTATCAGAGCTGCTGGCACAGCTAAGATGGGGACCTCGAGCTATAGTGTTAATCTTCCAGAATCAGAAATGCAGGGTTTAGATGCTGATGCCAGGCGCAAGGCTCCCAGGAGCCAGGCAGAGAGGAAGCCTCCTAAATTAGAATCAGAGTGCAAAGCAGAGGCACCTCAGAGCAAGGGTCAAGCAGAGGAGCTGCTTCAGTTGGCACAAAGAGTGGTTCAGATGAGCTGCTGGGGAGCTGCCACCTTTGCCTCTGTTTACAGACAGCAGACTGGGGACCTGTGACCTGGAGGGCACACATGACTCAGCCCAGGGACCTCACACCCCTGGGGTCTCTGGGGCCTGAAGCAGAGGCCCATTT